CACTACATAGCCAGTTTAAAACTTTTAAAGATATATTTGTGTGTATGTTGTGGGGTGCACATGTGTCTTAGCACACAATGTGGAGGTTGGCTGCTTTCACTGTGGGTCCTGTGGACTGAACTCAGTACTCAGGTATGGCAGCAAGTGCTTTGAACCTGCTAAGCCACCTTGCCAGCCCCAACCCCCCACCTTTTTGCTCCCATTTCAAGCCACACTAGGGATACATAGCCAAGACCAGCCTTGCTATATAGAACAGGCTGACCTTGAGCTAACTCTTGGTGATGCTTTTGCCTCAGCCTCCCAAGTTCTACGATCATGAGGGTAGGACACCACATCCAACTTGTTTAGAATCTACTGTCTTGCAGTATGCAAACTACTAATGTGGAAGAAGTTAAAAAATGTTTGTGGTGCCATGGGAGCACCGAGGCCCTTCCGTGATTTTACATCCCCCACCCCCAACCAATTCTGCAGTCGTTTTGTTGTTCTGATTTCTGACTGTCTTAGATGTGTTCTGTATGAGGAGTCCAACACAATAGCTCTTGCATCTGGCTTCTGTCACACGGTGTAATATCATTAAGGTTCAATCATGTAGCAGCATGCTCAAGGATCTCTATCTTTGTCTGTCTGTCTGTCTGTCTGTCTGTCTGTCTGTCTGTCTACCTTTGTATTTTGGTGTTCGTGTTGCGAAAGGCAGTCTCATGCACCTGTGTGAGAATAAACATGCATGAGGAAGCAATTTGGGTCTTCCTTGATCACCCTCCCACATTTTTTGAGGCAATTACAGTGAAGCTGGCTGATTCAGCTGGGTTGGCTGGCCAGAAAGTCCCAGGGAGCCTCTTGTCACTGCCTTCCCAGTGCTGGGATTACAGCTTCTACATGGTGCCCAGGATTAGAACCTCATGCTTTACCAACTAAACTGTATGTATGTATGTATGTATGTATGTATGTATGTATGTATATCCATATATATATATATATATATATCCAGTCCCTTTTTAAAGGCTTAACAATATTCCATTTTGTTTATTCACTCATCTGCTGATGGAAATTTAAGTTACTTCTACCTCTTGGCTATTGTGAATATAATGAACATATGTGTCTCTTGGAGACACTGCTTTAAGAACATATTTCTTTTAGGACATATTCCCAGAAGTGGGATTGCTAAATCATCTGGCAAGTCTATTTTTAATCTCTTGAAGAACCTCCATACTATTTTGCATAATGGCTGTACTTACATCTACACCACCACAGCTTATTCCAACTTTTCTGCTTCTTTTTAAGGTTTTTCACTTACATGGTGTGTGTGTGTGTGTGTGTGTGTGTGTGTGTGTGTGTGTGTGTGTGTGTGTGCGTGCTTGCAAATATGCATGCACAGTCAGAAGAGAGCATTGGATCCTCTGGAGTTGCAGGCAGTTGTGGGCCACCCAATATGGATGTTAGAAACTGAGTCCTCTGCAAGAACACCAAAGTGTCCTTAAGTAATGAGCCATCTCTTTAGCCTCTTCTCTGCATTCTTGCATAAGAATAACACCAGCACTGCCTTTTTGAGAGTGGCCATCCTAACACATGTCAGGTGACATCTCCTGGTGTCTTATGGGCAGTGATGCAAGCATCTTCTCATTTGTATGTATTCTTTACAGAGCTTTCTATGCAAGTTCTTTCACAATTTTTAATTTTAATAATCAAACTTTTTTCTTTTCCTGTGTGTGTGTGTGTGTGTGTGTGTGTGTGTGTGTGTGTGTGTGTGTGTGTGTGTGTGTTTTTGAGACAGTTTCTCTGTGTAACAATCCTGGCGGTCCTGAACTCACTCTGTAGACCAGGCTGGCCTCAAACTCAGAGATCTGTCTGCCTCTCCTGTCCAAGTGCTGGGATTAAAGACATGTACCACCACCACCACCACCCAGCCAATAATAAAATTTCTTACCCAGTCTGAATATTAACCCTGTATCACGTATATGATGCATAAATATTTTCTTCTTTGATACAAGAACATTTTAACATTTGATATGGTTCCATTTGTCCATTTTTTATTTTGCTACTTATGTTTTGATGTCATACCCATGAAATAACCATCAAATCCCAAATTCTGAATATTTCCCCATATTTTCTCCTGGGATTTTTTATAGCTTTTATCATGGACATCCAGTCTTATCAACACGCTTTGATAACACACTGACCTCGATGTTCCATTGCTTTCCCAACCATCAAAGGACTCTAGATAACCATAGTAACCAGTGCTGGTGGCCAGAGGTATTTGAGAAGGCATAGACTAGGGAGGACTAGGGTGAGCAGTGAAGCAGGACCTCAGGAGAACCCGCACTCCATACAGGGAGTGCATGTTCATCTTGCTGTTTTCCTTTCAGACTTTCAATGTAGTTTGACTGTCCTGGAACTTGCTTTGTAGACCAGGCTGGCCTTGAACTCACAGAGATCTACCACCATGACCTGACAACTTTCAATGTTTTGACATCTGAAGCTTTGCTGATTTCTCTTAGGGTTGGCCAGAGACAGTGCTGACAGCATATCACCCAGTTCAGGGTCACCCCACTTCCTCTATTGTGCCTCATACCAAGGTTGGGTCTAGACAGGTAGGATGATCTCTGCCCCAAACAGGTTGACATGATTGTGCCTAGCCACTCTGAAGCCTGCCCCTTCTGTGTACTAACACATGATAGGATCGTGTCCATTTTACAAACTTTGACCTTACTGATGTGTCATCCCACAGGGCGTGTCCTCCAGTGCCATCTGTGGGTACAGCCATCTTCTCAATGGCAGCCACTGCTGGTGTGGTGGTCCTGCCATACCCAAATCATCAGCCAGCTATCACTCCAGCATCCCATGAGCACTGGCCTGTACTTACAGGAAGCAGAGTGACTACCATTGAAGAACCTGAAGATGAGACCACATTGATGTGGGGACTGTCACAACGCAGGGCATATCCTAAAAGTCCTGGCCACAAATGCCCAGTCCTCATGGTTCTATCAGACTATCAGAACATCTGTCAGGCAGCGTCTCAGACCCAGTGGGTAGGGCTACATCCCTGGAGGCTGGAGAAGTACAAGTTAGATTTCTGCAGCAACCAGTGTGAGAAAAGGCCTAGGAGCAAGCCAGTGGCAGGTGGCCAGCCTCAACAGTGACACGCTTCCTCCAACAAAGCCACACCTCCTGACAGTGCCACTTCCTTTGGGGGTCATTTTCTTTCATACCACTAAAGCCCAGGAGCAGAACTGTGGCAGGTGGCCCGCCTCATCAGTGCTAGAGTACATGGCAGGCGTGTGAGAAAGTTTGTTTTGCCTTTGACCCTGAGAAGGAACTGTTTCAGTAACAGTGAATCGTCGTTCAAGCCAGGTTCCGCCAGCATCAGTGTATGAACTGGAGGGAATGGGATGACAGGTCATTTGGACGGCAGATCATTTAACCGCAGGATGTGAGTGACACAGACACCCGAGGTGTAAAGCAAGGGCAAGAGGAGTGCCGGTTTGGGAGGTGGGCTGCCGTGCCCGCTGAGCTGGGACAATGCAGGAGGGGCCATTGGCAGCTGCGCCTGCCCAGATCTGCTGGGGAACAGTGTGGTTTTAAGGTTGCAGAGGCTGGTGCCCTCCAGAGCTGCGATTCCAAAGTGAGTCAGAAAAACAGCCTGTGCCAGTCTCAACCTGGTCACAGCGTGTGGGTACCTGTTTCCTCATGTGCAGAGAGGAATGGTTTGCAACTTCTCTTTCCTGAAAGAGACCTCTAAAGGTCATGGGAATTCACAGCAGACAAAGAGGGCCCCGGGCAAGATCAATCCCCTAGACCTTTGTGCTCACTGGGAACCTTATCATTCATGTGATAGCTATTCTTGGTGGTCAGCTTGATGACGTCTGCAACTAAAACCCCAGCAGTTGGGCACGCCTCCGGGGGACTGCTTTCATAATTAGATCATTTGAAATGGGAAGACCTGCTTCTAATCCAGATCTTTTGAGGTGGGAAGAGCCACCTTTAATCTGGGCCACACCTTCTGGTGGCAGCCTGTGTAAAGGACTCGGAAGAAGGAAGTTTGCTCTTGCTGCCAAGTCCATCCCTTCACTGGCATTAGAGTCCATTTCTTTTAAGATTCCTTCATATACTGAAGGCCAGCTGAGACATCCAGCTTCAAAATGAATAACTTCAGGACTCCTGGACCTTCTGTTTGTAGACAGCCATTTGTTGGACTAGCTGGACCACAACCTAAGCCATCCTAATAAATCTGCTTTATATATGTATGTATATATTCATCTTATATCATGTTCCTATAGCGAACCCTAATGGATTCCATGAACTGCAGTTGTTTCATTGTAGGTCAAAATCTACAGTGCTGTCTGTCTTCCTGTGTGTGTCTTATATGTACATGTGGAAGTCAATGCTGTCTGTCTTCGTGTGTATGTCTTATATGTACATGTGGAAGTCAATGCTGTCCACGTTTTTTTTTTTTTTGAGGCAGGGTCTCTCACTGGATAGAAAACCACCTGTCCCCGCCACTTCCTTAGTACTGGAAGTGTGTGCTACCACACCCAGCTTTATATAAATATGTTAGATTTATTTTATGTTTGATTGCTTTGCCTGCATGTGTGTGTGTGTGTGCACCACATGTGTATGCAATGCCCACAAAAATCCAAAGAGGGCATTAGATCCCCTAGAACTGGAGTTGCAGATGGTCATAAGCCACCATGTGGGTACTAGGAATTGAACTGGGGGGGTTCTCTGCAAGAGCAACTAGTCCTTCTAACCACTGAACCATTTCTCCAGGTCTCCCCCCCACCAAAAAACAAAAAACCAAAAACCATGGGTTCAGAGGATTATGTCCAGGTCCCCATGCTCACAAGGCAAGGACTTTACTGATGGAACCACCTCGCTATTCTGCTTTTACAGGACTTGAAGAGATCAGAAGGTACTGACATCACACCTGGAATTAGTCACAGTTCCTCCTACTGGTGAGAGGAGAGCCCACAGAAGCCAGTATCAACTTCCTCACACAACTCCAATTTAAATTAAACTTCCTTTAATGAAATAAAAAAAAAAAAACAAAAACAAATGGTGCATTGCATAATATTTGTGGCCACAGTATAAAACAACACAATTAGTTTGTATAACATTGGATACGGACAAAAATACACATGATCTTCTCTTTTGTCTACGGAAAAGTCTGCAGATCCTTGTGTTATACGCTAGAAAAGAAACCCAACCTTGTTCTCCTAGTGACCTGCACACATGTGTGTCACTGAGAATATGGTCACACGCCAGAGGAGAACTTACCTAAACCCTAGTTCCCTTCTTCCTCGTTGTCATCGGTGAAGCTTAAAAAGAAAGAAATTCCCCCGAAAGTAGCGAGTCGTGTAGTATTGCTTATTGTTCCTGCTCCAAGGGCGCAGTCTTTGGCTCATAGATGCCGTAACGAAATCATGGCTGCAGGAAGTCTGCAAAGCAGGAGGCAAAAGCCACCAGAGAAACTGACAGAGGTCTGGGCAGGAGGGAGCCGTGTGGCTGGGAGGGGAAGACACACACACACACATCGGGACTTTTCTAAATGAGGATTTAACCTAGCTGGTGAGTCAGGATGCCAGCATATCCCATGCATGAAAAATTTGAAAAGTTGTTAAAAAGCCAGAGTTTGCATTTTTCTTATTTTTTAAAAAAGTGAATTGTGTGTGTAAACATCATAAAGTAAACAATTTAAAGTAATTTCTAGGCTTCCATCTGAATATAGCTTAGGCTCTTTCGGGGGGAAGGGGGATTTTGCAATTGGGGAAAAAAGCCTTCTATAAAGTTACTCTGTAAGAAGTGCAATTTCATCTGCCAAGGCCTGGCTTGGCCTTCCGTTCTGTCACGCCGGTACTGGGGGGGTGCTCAGGAAGAGCACTTCATGGGGAACCCTATTTGGTACATTAAGAGTGTTTGCTCACACTTAAAAGGACTCACATCCCAGAATGGTGATAGTCCCTAAAGGAACTAGGTCCTGGGGTTTCTGACCCCTCTCCCAGCCCTAAGCAGCTTGAGGGTTTAGGCATGGCCAGTAGATGAAGGCCAGGGCCTCAGTAATTCAGGCTCAAATCTCAACATCAGCTGAGAAAGGGAAAGGTAGGCCTAACACTATCTGTCTCACCCTCAAGTGCTGGCCCTGACCCATCAGTGGTTTCATGTTCACCGGGGGCTGGGATCACACAGGGGTAAGTGTCTCTCCTCCTCCTAAGGAGGGCGGCACCACAATGACCTTGAATCTTCTTCAGTAACTGCAGGGTTCAGAGGCTGTTACTAATGAAGTACCTGGTTCTATTCCCCTAATTCCTGTTTGTACAGTCACCTGTACCCCATCTTTGAACTAGCAGTAGGAAGTGACATAGAAATACCCCTATCTGCCAAGTCCCCCCTTCCCCGACTTCCTCTGGCCTCTCTTGCTTGGGTGGGGTGCAACTGCTGTCTCTCTCCTTGCTACTGACTCTAAACTAGGAGCCTACCTGGGCTGGACCCACCAGCTCAGCATCTCATCCCAGGAACATCCCAGGCGGGTGGTGAACGCAAAGGAGGGGGGGTCAGCACATCCTGGCCCATGATGACAAGAGCTGCATGTGAATGGCCTTCTATTTGTATTACTTTATTGCTCAAAACAAAGGAATCTCCCCTAACACACTTTGGAAGACAATAGTGTTAAATCTTTCGGAGCCAAAGGGATAAGTGAGGGTACCAGTTGGCGGTGAGCCTTGGCACGCAGGGGAGGCTTGTGGAAGGCCTATGCTGGGGTGAGAGACTTTGGGAGGCCGAGGCCCTGATGGACCAGGCCCTGGGGACCTGGAAGGTGTGTCTGTCCGCTGTCCTAATTCCTGCTGTGCACAGTCAGGCAGAGCCGGCTGCTCTCAACCCTATTTTACAGGCCGTTCACACGACAGTAAATTGCTGGGTTCCCTTCATATTCCTAATAGGAAGGCAAACATCCACAAAATATACCCCTCTTCACTACCCCCTGCAGGGATCTTAAAAAGACTTCAAGGACTGAAAAGGTCATGGAACACACACACTTGCTCTAGGCCATTTCCGATTCCTTGAAGTCAGTCAGTGCAGGCAGCAATCTGCTTTCCTGTGAAGGAGCTCAAGAGGCGAGTGAGGGTGGCGCATCTCGACCCCCACGCAGGCCCTGTGGAAACCAGCAACAGGGCTTCTCGTGAAGTGACGGGGCACCTGGCTCAGGGCACATTCAGACGCCCGCCACTGCTACTCTCCCTGGGGTCCCTGGGCACAGTGGCCGCCGAACTACCAGGGAGACGGCATCCATCCCTTTCCTTGGCCCCAGTGTCCTCTTGCTCACAGACCTTCTGCCCTGGACGGAGGTGGCGGTGGACTTTTCTTCCTACTCATTCTTAAGGCTAAGGTGGCGAGATAAGGTGCTTGGTGGAAAGCCAAATTCTAGACTCCAGGGCTGCCATTTCCTCACTCTCACAGAAACAAACCAGAAACGCAAGAGGGTGGAGAAGAAGCGAAAACACAAAAGGCATATGAATTAAGAAGTCAAAGACTCTGACTTTAGGTTCTAACATAGTTTCAACTCCTGAAAGTGGGGGATGGGCAGGGTAGTGAACGCCACAGCTTGCCTCGGCGCAGGTCTTTATCAGCTCTGGGCCAGCATGGAGGGCATCAGGTAGCAACTACCCAGATGCCGGCCCCTTGTGGATGCTGGCTCTCAGGAGGGCAGGCACCCTCTCACCCACGATGAGCAACTCTGAACATCTCCACCCTTCCTCACCGCAATCCCTCACATCAAAAGTGATCAACACACAGAAATCAGAGGGTCGATAAGCTGCTAGGAGAAAACTAATTAGACCAGGGTTAACCATTAAAAAGCTGCAGCTGGGGAAACACACACTCGATTGTTACATATCAGAAAGTGCCGTGGGAAGAAGAGCCGTGTGCTGGTAAACATGTCTGCGCTCAGAACTTGACATGCAGAAAAGAGAGAGCGCCGAGTCCCACCTGAGATTAGAGAGGACTGGTTTTAGTGTAACACACTTTGCTCTAAAATATCACTGGTCCTCTTCTCGCCCCCACCATCCCTACAATGTTCCTCTGTCCCTCTATCTCCGCTGCTTAATCCATCTCCATGGACATGAGCCTGCGGCGCTCCCGACGCGTCTCCCGCACCTCCTTCTTACAGCACCAGTGGGAACTGCAGTACCCGATGAGGCAGGACAGGAGTCCGATGACTGTGGACAGGCCCACGCCAATCAGCAGTGGGTACTTGAAGGCATTCAGCACTGGGGCAGGAGAGAGAAAGTGGAAGGGTTAGTACTGAGAGGGAGGGTGCTAGGAAGCACTGGATCCCTCCCTCCCTCCCTCCTTCCATCCCTGTCTGTGCTCCCCACCCCCGCCGTCGGGTGTCTGCAGAGATGGGAGCTCATAATCCCATATCCTGCACCTGGCATGGGGTCCAGAAAGGAGCGGTCCAGTTCTATTGAGAAATGAGCAAATGCTCCCCCAGCCATTTCTTCGGAGCTGGGCACATGGGGGTGGGTACACAGTAAAGAGATTTTACTTGATGCCTTTGAATGTCAACTTCTTTTTAGGGTTTTGGCAGGAGATTGATTTTTAAAAGTCAGTATAAGGGCACCGCACATTGAGCAGCAGATGCATCCTTTAAAAAAAACTGAATAAATCAATTCTATGCATCAAATAACTAAAGTGTACTAAAGATGCTATTTTAAGTAACACTATAGTAAATTATCGAGCAAAGTGAATAATCACTCCCCTCCTTGTTTGGTAAATCTGGGTTTTCATATGGAGCTACTTCAAGCAGAGTTTAAGATGCAAATGAGGCAGAGATGACAGAAGTTTAGATCCCACCCCGGGAGCTCCATCTTCCCTCCCACTAAGCACTAACATTTTGTATAGATGCTGCCACCACCTAGATTCTTAATGTTTGGAATGATCTAATTTTCATAACAGCCCCATGGGAGACTACTGTCACATTTTTCAGGTCATGGACCAGAAAGTATTGTGGAGTTCTTTCCTCCAAGCAAGGCATAGCTGTTGCCGTCTTCAAGTCAGTCTGGCTGTGCTTGTCTGCACGAGCCCTCTACTCCAATATACAAGCGGTTGGTAATCACTGGTGTGTGTGTGGGGGGTTCCGATTCAGTGGTGTAGCTGCCTGTATGCTGCCCATACTCTGGTGACACCAATAAACTCACTGTGTCACCAAACTGGACTTGGGTGAAATCGGTTCTTTGGCTAGTTATTCTTTTTACCTGCAGTGACTGTAAGTAGACTCCTCAAGAAAGGTCACACAACAGAACAACTAAATGATCTGAGGAGGAGCTGGAGTTGGAAGGCCCCCTCCCCTCAAACTGATTTGCTACTAGGGAACTAGGGAAACACACTCTTGGTCCAGGCTCCTCCTGACCCTTGGAACATCTGGAATCAATTCTCTCCATGGAGTTGTTCCAGGTGGCGTAACTTTCTGAAGTGTTCACAGGACAGACATGCTTCTTGAGAATAAAGGGACAACTGTCTAGCTCTGAGATGCTCAAGGGGCAGAGATCTGGATGGTTAGGCTGGTCTGGGTGGGTGGGGTTGGTATGGGCCAGTAAAGCTGAGAAACACTCTCCCATCTCAGGGTTATAAGAGGTCCTCACTCAGTGCCAGTGGTTTTCCAAGAAGTTAAACATGTGATGGGAGGTAGAAGTGAGAAGATCAGGAGTTCAAGGCCAGCCTTGGGCAAGAGAGTGAATTTGAAGCAAGTCTGGGCCACATGAGATCACATCTCCAAAACAAACAACAAAAAAGCAGCAGGTGGGCAAGAGTAGTCAGTCCTTAATCTACAGCGTCCCCTGGAGACCTCCCTGCCCTCCACGGCAGAAGCCATGCCAACCTTAGGATGCTGTGAAGTGGGTTTCCACAGAACCACAGAAGAGCTAAGGCTCCCAAACATCCTTTCCCAGTGATATCATCAGGCCAGGACTGCAAAGCGAGGAACTTGCAAAACTGCTTTGGCCCGAGCTAGGCCCTAGATAAAAAACAGGCGGGACCAAACTATGGAAACCTGGATTCTACATGCTGTAGCAAAACCCAAGAAGGTACTCCAGACACCCAGTGAGGGAGCTCACCATCCATCTTCACAGTTATAAAGATGGGCCTGGAGTGGATCTCGGCTTCCCTCTGCCAGGAACCTGTTGGTGACCTCACCCATGGAGTCACAGAACAGTAGTAGTTGCCAAAGTCCTGGTCTTCAGAGCCATGCACTTGCAGCAAGAATTCCAGCACGCTCACGCGCTCCAGGCTGAGAGTACTCTTCCAGTCCCTCTGGCCTGTAGTCACGACTCCCTTCCGGTCCAGGGAGGATAGGAGGACCGGAGCCTTGTCCAAGCCAAAGGAGTGTACCGCAAACCAGGACACATCGAAGGCCATGTCATCTGTGGATTACCAAGCAAAAGCGCTGAGGTCAGTGTGAGAAGTGATGTATACACTCCCATGTCTGTAACCCTTAGTCCAGGCTGGGTCTGTTCTGTACAAACCCTCAGCCAGTCTGTGATGATGAACTGCCACATTCACCCCTGTGGCAAGGCCAGACAGTCACAGGCAATAGTGTGGGAGCTTATGACAGTGTCCCACTCGGCCACCACCACTCTAAGGACCCTTGGGAAGAAGACCTGGGAGCACTTTGCCACCCACAGACAGTCCTGTGTGCCGAGCCTGGTATGGTGTGCAGGGGCCCCGACACTTGGAGCAGAAGGACCGGAGGCTGGAGAGACTATAAGGTTGAAAGAACAAAATGGACGTAAAATGAACTGTACCAATTTAAAGCTGTAGACAGTTTGGATTTTATTGTTGCTGTAGGTTTTTTTCCCCCTTCTTCTTCTTCTTCCCCCTTTAGAAGTGTTTTAGTTCAAAACAAGAGGAAAAAAAAATCAAGCAGAGAAAATTGAACACAGTTAATAGTCCCGGAGAGTAAGCTGGTGGATCATGGAATACTCTGTGAAACCGAGATTCTAACAGCCTCAAATGAATAAAGAGGGGCAACAGAGAAAGGGGGTGGTACAGAGAATGCAGAAACCGAGGCCACGTGCTAAACCCAGCCCCCCCCCCCCACACCATACCAACCAATACCAGCTGTTGAGCTGAGAAACTCATCCACAAGGAATGTCAGGACTGTGGAGCATAAACACAATTACATCTTAAATCTGCTTGACAAAATTCCTTTTTCAAACAACAAACAAACAAAAGGCCCCACTGAGTACTGAACCAGTATACTGCTGGTAAGCCACACCCCTGGCCTGGGACGTTTTATATCAGTTTTTGCTGAACAACATAAAATAATGCTCATTCATTCAGTGACAGTACACCAGCAACTTTGGGAAACACATTATGAGGCAGACAAACGTTATCCAGACCTATGTAAGGCAGAACGAGCGGAACTAGAAGCAACCGTTTCCTAACGTGTCCAAATGATAATCCCGTCTCAGAACGAGCGGAACTAGAAGCAACCGTTTCCTAACGTGTCCAAATGATAATCCCGTCTCAGAACGAGCGGAACTAGAAGCAACCGTTTCCTAACGTGTCCAAATGATAATCCCGTCTCTGCCCACAGCTAAGGCATGTCACCCCTCTCCTCCACCCGCCCTACCCGTACTTTAGTATAAACAGTGCCCAGTGTGTAAGTCTCTGAGGCCAGCTTGGCGGGAGCAGAGGGAGTGCTATGAACTGCCTCATTTCCCCTCAGTGCCGGGGCGCAATAGGCTCTTCCACCTGTCAGGTGCAAGCCTAGAGGGGCTACTAAAGACAGGGCATAGAGGTGTCCCCAGTACTTCAGTCCCCACATGCATCATAGGATGGTAGGGTGAGCTAGCCTGGGCTAGAACCCCCAGTACCTACTGGCCACATGACCTGAACAAGCCATGTTAGTTCATTGCCACTTAGTTCTTCATCTGTAAAGTACAACTGATAGGGGTCTGAAAGATGGCTCAGCAGTTTAGAGCACTTACTGCTCTTACAGAGGACCCGGGTTCAGTTCCCAGCACCCGTGTCAGGTGGCTAACAACTGCTTGTAACTCCAGGGGACCTGACACTGTCTTCTGACCTCAACAGACAGACAGACAGACACGCACATAAACTCTCATTTGTGTACAGACACACACAGACATACACATAAAAAATAAATCTAAAAAGATGCTACTAACAGCATGGGCAGATACTTCAAGAGTCATGCCTGGACCACAGTGACTGCCCTCATATCCACACATGGCTGGACAAGCACACGCTGCTGGGAGGAAGGGCATGACTATCTGTTGTCAAGGCTGTGGGTCCCTCATGCAGACAGCTGCTGTGCTGAGTCACCTCATCTGCTGCATACGCGGGTGTAGGTACCAGACACTCACACTCTGAAACTGTACCTCTCCAGAGACACCATACTTGCTAGAAATGCCTCCCAGTGCCTACAAGACACCGTTAACTTCAGCCACTCAGCCTCTGAACAATGACCGGGCGCCAAGGATATGGAAGCCCAGCTCCTTACCGACCCTCAGCTCCAAGTCTTAGCATGGCTGTGGGGGCTCCATTCCTTTGCACCCTCACAGCACACTCTGGAGAAACCTCCATGACTCACACTTCCCTGCTTTGCTTCGGAGCCTGACCGTGGCGCCACCCACGCTTGGCTGCTCCCACCCTGCCTTGGTACAGGAGTGCCTTGGCTCTTGGCCCACTTATGCAACTTTCCCACAGAGAATTCCCTCTCAGAGCCCATAGGATGAATGAAAAAAGGGGGGGGGGGGAAGAAATTACAATTTGTGTTTAATTATTCAGAATCTTCCACCCACACAGACCAAGAATGCAAAGTTCTGGAAAATTGTGATTTGCAAGATACCAGCTACCTATAGCTTTTGCAATTACACTGGAAAAGGGAGTTTTACATGAAAGGCACAACTGGGCGACCTATTAATTTGCTGAGAAAGAGCATTCGGAGGGTTTATTTCTGAATATGTCATAAATGAGCTTTAGAACAACACTGCTCTATGCAAACTTTTAAAGGGGTTTTGCTTGCCTTTCCCTGGCAATCTCTTCTACTCTTCCCCTCGTTTCCACTTTCAAAGGTACCGTTGCGTCTCCGTGCTCCCCAGCTTCAGCCCCACAGTGGCTGCTTGCTAGCCTCAGAGCCAGCCTCCTCATGCCTTAACCCAATGGACAAGCTAAGCAGCCCTGGGTGTACATGTGTGTGTGTGTTGGGGGTGGGGGAATTCTTTCTTTTCCTTTCCTTCTACAAACTCCTTTCTCCCACCTCCAAAGCACATGGACATTTGAGAGCAAATGTTGGTGTCATCAGGAAACCATGCCTGGAGGTTAAATGGAGCCTCCCTTGTTCTGACAAAGTTTCCTGCTCCTCGGCCATGCTGGTTTGTTCATATTGTTGCCCACTGCTGCTTCCTTGTGTCTGAGGCAGGGCTGAGCTGCTGAGACCATCTGACCCACAGAGCCAACGCTATTCCCTCCTGGTCCCTTCACAGGAGGCATGTGCAGGTCCTGAACTGGGAGCCACCTGAGCCTTTGAACAGAAGCCCTGAAGGAGAAGGAGGCAGGATCCCACTCTAAGGTGGTGGCTACTCAGCCCATTACTTCTAGATACTGGTGAGGCCTGCATGGGCCACCATCCCTGCTTATCAGCACTGCCGCTTCACAGAGAACAAAACCTGCCTACCTGCCCCCAGGGCCATAATTCCAGGGGTCTACACACAGAAACCCATGAGAACTCACACAATTTGACTGTTCCAAAGTGCATGACTTTGTTAGGAATGGGGTGGGGCGAGGTGGTGTCAGGGTCACAGTGGGTGTAAGGGAGAAGGGCAGGCTTCAGCAAGTTAGGCTCTTCACAGAACCTTTGAAGGAAGGCAAAGGGGGGTACAGTACTGCTCAGTAACAGGGACCACACCCTAATGCCTTAATGCTCCTTCAAGACCAGAGGAACCAATGGGAGAGGGACGTTATCGGGTTGCTAAATGCATCAAGCAGAAACTGTATGAGGGATGGGCCTACAATTCTGAGGCATCTGTTGGCAAGGCTAATCTTTTCTGTAAAGAGATTCACAGAGCTGGAGATGTGGCTTGGGACAGGCTTAGCATGCTCAAGGCTTCACCTCCAGTACAATGGGAGAAAAGGATTTAGGGAGCTGTCTTGCAAGTTCTAAAAGCTGCCATTCTTCCCCTGGTCGGTACTTCTCCAGGGGTGTCCTTAACTAGGCTACGAGCTCTCTGGGGTAGACCTTGAACATGGTCACTGCGCTATTCCCAGCATCTACAGCTGCTCTTGTGTACTGAAGAAACTCAGAAACAATGAATGTATGACACATAGGAGGACCCTGTGAGTGGGTCTCAAACCAGACCACAATAAACCACAAAGAGATCTACTGATTGCCCTGGAAAGTGTTTTCAGATCTCACAGCAGATAAAGGGCCTCACAGAACCAAGACAGCATCAAGTCAGGAAAAGCAGTGTCCTGTCTAGTCTTTTGTCAACTTGACACAGCTAGAGTTATCAGGGAGGAGAGAACCTCAATTGAGAAAATGCCTCCGTAAGATCCAGCTGTAAGGCTTTGTTAATTAGTAATTGATGGGAGAAGGCCCAGTCCATTGTGGGCGTGCCATCCCTGAGCTCTACAAGAAAGCAGACTGAACAAGCCTTGGGGAGCAAGCCAGTAAGCAGCATCCCTCTATGGTTCCTGCTCTGTTTGAGTTCCTGTCCTGACTCCCTTTAATGGTGGACTACAACGTAGATGCCAAATAAACCCTTTCCTCCCCAACTTGCTTTTGGGTCATGGTGTTCACGGCAGCAACAGAAACCCCTACCTACCTAAGACAAGTGGAGAGCAACAGACAATCCAGACCCTAGTCCCTACATCTAAGTGACACGGTAAGAATGACAAGAGAAACATTTACAAAAAGCAACTGGAGGAGGGAAAGAATGGGGGGAGGTACCTGGATCCAGCACTGCTCCTTCCAGAGTGACAATACAGAACAATTTGATGAGATCTCCCCGGGTGACTGATGGCGTGTCTGAATGCACAGAGGCATTAAATATGGGACCTGGAAGAGAGTGACATTTAAGTTGCATTATTCTCTTTCACACAAGTTCAAATTCCATTCCTGAATTCAAATTCCATTCCTGAAGCTCCAACAGCATCGAAGTGTAGTTCTCTTTCTTGGGAACTAGTCTAGGGAAATCATAAAATGGGTATTGAAAGATCTCTTTTCTCTACTCAGAGACACTTGCATCAGGCACACCTGCCTGAATCCAGTCCTGACTGAATCCAAACTGAGCTTTCTCTGCCTGACAGTGGCAGGATAAGTTGGTAGTCTGAGCTCACCTCCCAGCGGGTAGGGTAAGGTTGGTGCCTGGTTCAGGGCGGTTCAAACTAACCAGAGTGGGTTAGAGACCACAAGTCCAGGGACTGAACCGCACTTGCTTCTGGTCTCAGTTGGGTGAGTGGCCTCAGTGTGCTCTGCTGTACCGATGGGGACAGAGGTCCCAGAGTTCAAGGGCTCAGATCCAGTTAGGAGATAGACTTCCTATCAGATTTCCCTAACAATGACAATACTTAGATAAAGTATATTGGGAGGCACTGAGAAAATGCTAGAATTTCAGGGGAAACAGACAGCTTGGAGAGTCCTTTAAAAGACGAAAAACGTAGGGGGAGGCCAGGTACACATAGGAGCTCTCTATACTTCTGGGTCAATTTTACTGTGAAACTAAAGTTATACCTCAACTTCCCCCCTTCCCCAAGAATACAGCAGCCTAATGATTACTTTGAACCTATCTCTGATTTCCACTTAGGTTAAGGGCATTTCATAGCTTAAGCCAAACTGATCCCAACAGCTTAATGCTTAACCTTATCACCCCAACTTCTAAAATACAGGATTAGGAAAAACTGAAAGAATGTTCTAGAACATCAGTGCCATGGGAGTCGACTTGGATTTTCAGCAGAGCATAGATGGCCTGGGAAGCTAAGGTAAAGCTGACTTGAGGAATAGACACGTTCCTGTTTCCTTGTTTGGATTGCTGGAAAGGAAAATCTACTCCACTGTGGTTTTAAGCATCTGTAAGAAGCTACTCACTCAGGAGTATGTGAAAGGTCGCACAGTCATGAGGCGCGGCGCTGAAATGAGTTTGGCTCTATTTTCACTTCAATTTGATGACTCATAAGAAGTCATGAAATTGCTTTCCTAGCACTAAGGACATGAATAATTTGTATAGTCTGAGGAGAAAGGTAAAGGAAAGCTGTTAGGTGTTAGAGAGACCTGGGGACTGAACTCCAGAGGGGCTGAGAACATGGCAGTCCCGGGGACATCCTCTCCTCCAGGTGCCTCGGCTGGTCCTGGCTCCTTTAGGTTCTCATGCTCTGGCCTGCTCTGCCCACAGCTGTGTGGAGGGCAGGGCCAGCCTCACTTCTCTGAACTCCGTGTTCTGCGGAAAGGAAATGACTGGATATGTTGTTTCTGCCGACTCAGGGTGTCAGTGGCCATGGTGAACAAGGGATTATAATTTTCCCGTAGATTAGAAACTTCACGGTAATAAACAACCCCACTAAGGGCTTTCTTTGATAAAGTATTCAGGCCCCTTCTATGAGAACCCCAAGTGACCAAACATTGAAATACCCAACTGATTTAAGTATTTTTCTTATTTGAAACAATGAAGAAAGACCTACCTAATTTGAACAAATGTCACTTTTCTTTATATTTCCAAAGAAAACCTCAAATGCTTTCTGGGTCACAAGTCATGACTCCCATTCCCCTATTGGTAGCTGCCGTGGGAACCAAGGGAGGGTTGTGAGAGGGTCTGTGCTCTGTCTCACAAAGCAGACAGGGCTGGGGAAGAAGGCCTTCATTGTGGCGAACGACTCACATTACTGGGTTTCCTTCTAATGAAATCAATAGCTCGATGTTAATATGGTCATTATCCCAGAATAGTGGAATATTCAGAAATATTTTCATTATTGTCTATTTTTGTGGCACTGCTGTTTAGCGAGGGCATTTGTCTGGTTAACTTGCAGACTACAGACTTGAGGAATTCAGTGAGCAGGCAGTCACTATGGGTCCCTGGACTCTTAGTCGGCAGTATAGGGACCACTTAACTTCTAAACACAAACATTGACACAGCCATGTTCCATCCCCACCCTAGGAAAAGGCTGGAAAGGCAGCACTTTTGTGCAGGCAAACACGGCGACCATCTGTTCCTTCAGCCACGGGGTCATGGCTAAGTGATGTTGCACAATGCAGTCTCGGGGCTAGTGTCTACCTAGCATTTACTGCTAACAGGAAAACTGATTATCTTACATTAAAGGGGAAGGAAGTGGGTCATAGAATTTTATGTGCAGTCAAGGTTTCCAAGTCATGAAGATAACACTAGAGGAAAAGTTCTAGAAAGATGAACAACCTAAATTAGTGTTTCATAGGGCAGGGTGAGGGTGGGGTGGGACTGTTCTACTTTCTACGGCATGGCTCTGTTTAATTATTAATTTATCTTAAGTGTATACCCAGTTTGCCTATGTGTATGTCTGAGCACCACATGTGTTGTTCCCATGGAGGCCAGAAGATAGTGTCAGATCCCCTGGGACTGGAGTTATAAGCAGTTGTGACCTGCAATGTGGGTACTAGGATTTGATCCAGGTCCTCGGGAAGAGGGCCCAGTGCTCTTAACATCTGAGTACTTTCACTCTGTTTACAAATTTCTATATTAAAAAGGAAAAACTTGCGACTCCTTTAAAAGGATTATGGCTACACGATCATGTTTAAGTTCATTTTAACCCTGAAACTTGGGTCAGTAAAACCCATGATCTAGTAGATTTCCTACTAATAACAAGAGACCAAGGCTGAAGATTAGGTGACAGGATGGTGGGGCCAGCGAGGACTTCTTTGTCATGTATCTTAAGGAGGAGTGCTGTTGTACAGGAAGTGAAGACTCTTGTTTACTGGGGGGTCTAGCATTGGGCTGTTTAATCAGGTGGTACCTTCTAATTAAGATGGGGACAGACTGTGACAATTCTACAGAAGGAATACAGTTTTTAGGCAATCTATTCAACCTGGAAGGAAAGAGATGACCAGCTGACATACTGAGATTTAAAGACTTAAGAAATAGACCCAATATCCATCCCCAACCCAGAAATATATAAAGGACTTCTTCATATCTCCTCTCTTCCACATAACTGAAAGAATGATCAGATAACAAATGTAAAAAAAAGATAGTACTGACCATAGCAGACAGTAAAACAGAAACATAGTGAAAAGGACAAAATCATGTAATCATCTCAACAAACACAAATATGGGGGAATCATTCGGTAAGTGGGTAGGTCCTTTCGATGACAAATTGCCCAACAAAAGTGTGGTGGCACATGCCTTTAATCCCCGCAGTCCCGAGGCAGAGGCAGGCAGATTCTGACTTACCTACAAAGTTATGAATGATTTAACAATTTCTTTTTTAAAAAGACATATTTTTAATTATGTGTATAGGTATGTGCACATGACTGCAACTGCCCAGGAAGACCAGGAAAGGGTATTGGATTCCCTGGAGTTGGAGTTACAGGTGGTGTGAGAGGCTCAACATGGATGCTGGGAACCACACTTGGGTCCTCTGCAAAAGCAGTTACGTGCTTTTAACCACTGAGCCATCTCTCCACCCCCACAAGTGAATGATTTAACTAAAGCATCGTGCATTTGTTATATTGATTTGGTTAATGACAGAATTTTTGTAGATGAGCATAAATGTATGCATTCAAAAATCCCCAACTAAAAAAGAAAAGAAAAGAAACAAAAAGAACCTAATCCCTAACTAGCAATTGAGGGCAGACTACTGAGGGCTGTGGGTTTAACATTCACACAGATCACCTAAATGAGCCTGGGCACTTGAAGCTTTAAAAGCCATCTTCCTACTGAAAGACACACACAGAAGGTGCAACCAGGACTCGTGAGTCACACATAAGCGTAAGATACTTCCACTAAGGATAAATTCATTTCTGAGTAGACACAATAAACGCCAAAGATAAATATCACGAATAACTATTCTTAACGAACCAAGCTGATAGGGTCACCAATACACAGCCCCACAGCAACTCTGGTGACACCTAATTACAGGAAGTTCATCCAATCCCAGAGCTGGGGTCACCACCTACCATCCTGGAGTTGGAAGCCATGAAATGAGACTGGATTCAGGCTCCCACTCGGGACCACCTGCTTTGATAGCCACAGGCTTCTCTCTCCACTATGTCCCCTGAGGGCTGAGGTGTAAGCTCCTGTCTTTTTTTTAATACATTTCAAAAAAAATAAACAACTTTCCCATGAGTGTTTATGACAGAATTAAAACAGTGGGGAAACCGACCAGACTGTGGGTCTGAACAGTCCATCAGCTGATGAAGTGTGGCCTAACCACGCACTCAGTCATAAAGATGACGTGGGTGACATCTGAGGACACTAAGCTCAGTTAAGTCAGCCAGACACAAAGATGACATACGTGTGAAGTATGAGGTGTGGGAAAATCCATGTGTAGAGAAAGCAGAGTGGTTATGGGGGAGGGAGGCTGGGCTGTTAGTGAAGGGGTCTGAGTTTCATCTGGGCACTACAGAAATGTCCTATAATCGACTATGGTGATTGATGGTCACACAACCCTGTGAATATGTGAAAAGCCACAGAATTACAGACCTTATTGGGATAAACTAAATGGCATAGGAATCCCACTTCACAAGCTATTTGGAAAGGCAAGGACAGGGGCTTGGGAGACAGCACAGTATATACAGTGATTGCTGCCACACGATGGTACTTGAATTCGAATCCCCGGCACCCATATAAAAAGCCGGTGAGGTCGCATATGCCCGTGATCCCAGCACTGTGTGTGCACGGTGGTGTAAAGACAGAGGATCCCTGGCTTTCTAGCCATAACTGTTTCAAGGGAAGAAGGCAGAGTGACAGAGCAAGGCACTTTCCAAGTACACATGTACACACAAATCACACACACTTACCACATATACACACCACTTCACATACACAAAAATAAACAAATAAATACTAAAGACCCTCGATGAAAATGGTAGGCTTGTATTCCAGTTCAATCTATGGCTTCACGGAATTCTCTGCTCACCTGAGGTTTGGAAGTCAATCTCAATGGGATTGGAGAGACTAGTCGCTGCTTCTCGCCACAGGCTACCCCCAATAGGAGACCAAGCCGTCACCATGCAGCGGTATAGTCCTGCATCAGAGACCTGAGTCTGGTACATTCGATATCGAAACTCGTCCTCTTGAACCTTCTCTAACACAACGCCATCCACCCGAGATGCATCAGTCCAGTTCTCCAACTTTACCACGGAATCCTGGTCCAGGGAGATGATGTACTTGGTTTCATTGGGACTGGTGAGGTCCCCGACAGGCTTCTCAGCCGTGATGAGAACAGAGTAGCGTGGTGACTTGATATTCTTGGAAGACACTTTGCAAGTCATCTCAAATGTATTCCCTGCGGCAAAGAAGGGCTTTGGCTGCCGTGCCCTCACCACAAGCACAGAATCTGGAATGAAGAATCAGAGGGAGGAGGTCATTTCCAACAGATTTGGTTAAAATGGATATGCATCTAAAAATCAAAGCATCCAGGAAATAGGGATTTATGTGCAATTTGCCACACGATAACACCAAGGAAAACATGGATTCTCCAAAAGAAAATAACGTGCTGAACAGACTGAAAACCACCACAGGGGGAGCAGCAGTCAGAATAGATCCGAGGAGCAAGGGACAATGAGAGTGTGGAGTTTCAAATCCTTGGGATGTTTCATCCAGAGAACTCAGAGAGCTATTGGGCCTCTCATGACTCAGAGAGCCAGGGAAGACAGGCTAGGTTAGCCACACCGCAGCGTTCTCTGCCGAGTGTTAGCCTGTTTGCCAGCATGTGCCAGCATGGCTACTCTCTGTCTGACCCTATAATGTATCACTAAATGCAATTGCATCTGCAGTTATGGCCATTTCTACCTGGTTTACACTTTTATCTTCAGAGATGTGGTTTTGAGATTTTGAGCCAATGTCTATGGGTACACAACCAGTGGGTTTGCATGTTCTTCGGGCTTCTCTGTCTAACACTAATCACTAAGCATGTATACGTTAGGTTTCTCCAGTCACACTAGCAAAGTCAGGCATGTGGAAGATATTCAAATAGCTACTAAAAACTGAAATGAATCATGTCCGTTCCTTTAAAAAATTTTTGTTTTGGATTTTTTTTTTCAAGACAGGGTTTCTCTATGTAGCCTTGGCTGTCCTTGAACTCACTCTGTAGACCAGGCTGGCCTCAAACTCAAAGAGATTTGCCTATCTCTGCCTCCCGAGTGCTGGGATTAAAGGTGTACACCACCATTGCCCAGCCAAGAAATGCCTTCTAATCAGATGACCACCAGTGCAATGTGGCCACAATCAACGGGACATGTAAAGGCCGAGAAGGAAATTGGTGCCATTGAGCCAGTCACTCATTCCTGCTTCTCCTGTGAGTTTGGTCATCCTCTCATGAGTTAGACACAATTACCGACAGCCTTCATATCATAGGCTCTGGTGATAGAACAGTGAACCAAAAGCACAGCAACCGTTCACTTTAAGCACCAGTAGAGGAGGACAAACAGTATGGTGAGGTGGTAAAATGTAAGAATCACAGAAGAAAAACAGACAAAAGAGAAGTGTAGGGCTGGGTACGTGGAGAGGGAGCAGAATTATAGACAGAGTAGCCCAGGAAGGTCCCACTAAGAAGATGACATTTGACTAAGCGCCTGAGGGAGGTGGGAAAGCTTTCTAGGCAGAGGAGATGGTGAGCTATAGAGCTTGTCAGGTGGTGAGGGGAACCATGGGAAGGGCAGGGCAGAGTGGGCAGTGGGGAGAGCTGTGAGGGAAGCTGATCAGTCTATTAGGAGACTCTGAGATAGGGAACCCAGGAGAAGGTTCAGGGCAGAAGAATTTCATGATCTGATTAGATGCTAAGGGTGTGATTTTTATTGTATTTTAGTTTTTGAGACCCGGTTTCTCTGTGAAGCCCTGGCTGTTCTGGAACACTCTCTCAGTACACCAGGCTGGCCTTGACCTCAAGAGATTCACCTGCCTCCCAAGCGCTGGGATTAAAGGTGTGTGCCACCACTGCCCAGCTGCTGTGGGTGTGATTAAGGGTGGATACAAGGAGACCAGAGAGGAGGCAGGTAATGTCAACACAAGTGAGAGATAGCAGGCTCATTAAGAATGAAACATGAGAGGTCATTAGACTCTAAATCAGTCTCAAGAATGAGGAGTGAGAAATGGCATGGTGGTGTCTGTAATTCCAGCACTTAGGAGGTAGAGACAGGAGTATCAGGAGTTCAAAGCCATCTTTGACTACATAATGAGTTTGAGGATGACTGGGCTACAACAGACCTTGCCTCTAAAAACAAAAAGTCAACCAAACAACAACCAAAAAGGGGAAGTTAGGGGTCAGGGTGTAGCTAGCTTGCATAAGGCTTTTAAAATCCTTGGTTCAACCCTCAGCAATTAAACTGAACAAACAAACAGAATAAAAAGAATGAAGAATTGGGGAGAAGCTTTAGGTTGGCAACCAAAGGTGGACGGAGATAGGCTGCAGAGGCTGGAGGTTCCATTTCTGACACAAGTCTGAGTGGTGTCTGCTAGCCAAGAAGGCAGCATAACCCTGAATCTAGAGTTTCTGCAACAGGCTGGGTAAACATGAGGATTGGGAGTCAGTCACTGCTGGGTGGAGTATGAAGACAGCTAAGGGAGGTAAACAGGAATTCAGGGACTCTGTCCTGATGCTGTTTCCTGTGTGGGAACTGGGAGGATGGACAGGAAGCAGCAAAGGAGGCTGAGATGCAGCCGCCAGTGAGGATGGGAACAAGCCTGGGGAAGGCATCCTACAAGCCATGGGAAAGCCAAAGCATTTGTGGAGAGGAGATAACTGACAACAGGCTTCTGGCAATCTTAATATGTGCAGTGAGGGGGAAAGTAGGTACCAAAGGGGAATGGAGGAGAAACTAGAGACATTAAATATAGTTCAATCAAATCCACTGCTACCAAAGGACAGAGTGGTGGGCAAGGGTTATAAGAAACAGAAAGATAAAAGAAGATAGCTGGGTGGTGGTGGCGCACGCCTTTAATCCCAGCACCTGGGAGGCAGAGGTAGGTGGATCTCTGTGAGTCTGAGGCCAGCCTGGTCTACAAAGTGAGTTCCAGGTTTAGTCAGGAGTGTTAAACAGAGAAACTCTGTCTCCAAAAACAAAACAAATAAACAAACAAAAAAAATCAAAATTAGTTTCCTTAACAGCAATGTTAACAGGCTGGTGGGAAGGGACCAAAGGTGAGAGACTATCAAAGACATGAGAGAGAGAGAGGGGGGGGGGGGGTCATGGGCCTGAGCTGTGAAAGGGGCTGACGGTTGCCAAGACAGAAGGGTGAGTAACAGGTTCAATGCTGGGCATGACAGATGAAGTTCTCCTTTGACTATCTTTTTATAGGGGATGGAGAAGCAAGGCCAGAAGCTGATGGAGGCTGGGGGAGGATGTTTGCAGAGAGAGCAGGTGGCGTGCAATTATCACTTAGGAGAGTGGGGAAGTAAACACACGAAGGAAACCAGAATGGCTCTCAATGTTGAGAGCCCATGTGACAGAAGGGATTGGAGATTTAAAGTGAGACCAGACCACTGTTGGAATGTTTTTTCCTTCAATTGCATCTAGCTCTGCATACACAGCCAAGAAAACAGCAAAGTTGGCTTTGAATCGGGTTGTGTTTTAAGTAGAGTAGACCAAGCCAGTGGCTAGAGAGTTAAGGATGCAAAGGAGGGAACATTATTGACTGGGAACTTAGGCTAAGGTATCAGTAGGTGATCATATAATTCCCCTTACCCCTTGACCCTGAACCCCTTAGGGAGGGCTCCAGGTACATGGTGAACTTCTGGTAAGAGAGAAGTGAAGACCAAGTAATGAGGAAGGACAATGTCAGATGGCAGGATCAATAGGACTGAAACACTACAGGGAACAATCTAGAAAGACTGTGCATAGAGAACCAGGCATGTCAAACTTCAGCTATGCAGGGGTTGGGCTTCAGCTATCAGAACTGAGCTGGTCTGACTTATAGAACTGGGAATGAAGGGCCAAAAAGGACAGAGGACGTGACACTTGGAGAGAACTTAAGAGACGAAGGCAGGGACTGACAATGAAAGTCTTGTCTACACCAGGGTTCTCCATGGTGGCTACTCAAGAGGATTCAATACCAGCGTCTAGACTGCACACATCTCGGAACTTCAAACATAATTTTTTTAAAGATTTATTTATTATATATATAGCATTCTCCTTGCATATATGCCTGCAGGTCAGACATGGTACCAGATCTCATTACAGATGGTTGAGAGCCACCATGTGGTTGCTGGGAATTGAACTCAGGACCTCTGGAAAAGCAGTCAGTGCTCTTAACCTGAGCCATCTCTCCAGCCCCCAAACATAATTTCTATTGGGATCTTTGCTTTCTGAAATCTCGCAAGATGACTTCAATAAATTTAGCCAGATAGGAATAAGGCTGGCATCTCAAGCAAATGAACAGAAAACCCAGGAGTCAATCAAGTTAGTGATAGGAGGGGCTACGAGGAAGAGGGAGGAGGAAGAGGGGCCCTGGGCAAGGAGACGCAGAAGGGACTTCCAGGGCTCAAAGGAAACGGTAGAAACCGCACTGGGAAACAAGGAGGGTACCTGACTTCTTTGCAAGGACTGTGAGAACAGTATCACTTAGGAGGGTTTCTGGGACAACTGCTCTCAGGGAGGAGGTAGGCAGCTGAAAAGAAGAAAAAGAAACAATGGGGTGCAGAAAGTGCAAGGCTTTGTTAATGACAGTGAGTTGCAGAGGGCCTTCCCTCGTAGCTTGGGGACAGAGTCTAAAGGGGGGCAAGAGGATCATGAGGTGATTACAGCTCCCTCGGGTATCAGTATAGATTTCCAGTGTGAGTGGAGGGTGATGGGAACCGGAACAAACACAGACAGAAGACTTAAGAAACTAAAACAAAACCGAGCAACGACCGGCACGAAGTTCCTACCTTCTGAGGCCCAGAATATGTTGACAGGCTTGGAGAAGACATCCTTACTTTTGACCCAGCTGTTGTTTCTCTGCCTGGTCCAGGCAGACACAACACAGTAATAATTGCCCCTGTCTTCCTCTGTAGTCCTTTGGATCCGGAAACTGAATGTGTCCGTGTGTTCCTTAGAAAAAATAAACTCTCCGCTCTGGGCCCGCAGTTTGCTCCTCTCTCCGTATCTTAGAGTCCAGTCTCCGTCCATGACTGCAAGAAGCTCACTGGCCACCACTTCGTCACTGCGGCGATTCATTCTGTAGTACCATGACACGGTAAGTCGGACACCAGCCTCCACGCGCTTCATGTCCATCACCCGACACTGCAGTTCTGTGGGGTCGTCTGAAAACCCAGGGACCTTAGAAGCATTCAGGTAGACTTGGTACTCTGGCTCTGAAGATGAGAGAGAAAAAACACAGCAACATAAGAATTGGCAAAGGGAACAAACCAAGGACCGCTCATATTGTGACAAACTGTTCATCTTACCAACTCTTAGGATAGAAATCAAGTCTTTGTGTTGGGCAGTAAAGACCCTATAAGAGTGTTTCTCAAAACCTGTAAATCACTTTTTCCTATATCTGCCTTAAGAAAACTGCCAAGGTGGTTGAGAGGTGGTTAAGAGGTTACGAACACTTGCTGCTCTTGCACAGGACCTGGGTTCAATTCCCAAAACCCACACTGCAATCACAACCATCTATAACTCCAATTCCAGGGATCCAATCCCATCTTATAGCCTCTGAGGACATAGTACACATGTGGTACACATGTATACATACAGGCAAAATACCCATACACATTAAAAAATAATTTTAAAATAGAAAGAAAAGGCCCAAGGCAGGAAGTCAAATGCCCAGGGTCAGAACCCCCACTTTTGCATAGGATGAGGGATACTAACAGGCACTACAGGCAGTTGGAATCTTTGAGGAGGATCTCAGAAACTTAGTGTTCACATCCTATCAAGACTGTCTCTGGGATGCCAAGAAAGCCCGCAGACCTCCGAAACTCCCAGTGATGCAAAGTTCTAATGCGAAGGACAATCCATCCACAATCTGAGGCTCACTAGGGTTCAGGTTCCTGCCACTCCTGGATGTGCCCCAAATGCAAAGGCCCCAGGTCCTCACTCATATTCTTATCCTCATTTGCAATTTTCCACTGAATCTGTATTCATCAGCCAACACCCCCTAGCTTAGACTCCCCAAAGCACATTCTTTTCACTGCCACAAATAACTCACCCTGTAACTCTGCCAGCCATGAAGCCATCACACAGTGAGCATGGCCCTGGTAAGTCTGCAGGATCACCACCCGCTTGCCCACTGTTTCCATGCTTGTGCTGTCACTGGCTGCAGGCTCCTCCACACTTGCCTCCTTAGGGAACCTGTGTTAGAACCCCTTGGCGGCCTTCTTTCCTCTCCACAGGCTGTTAACCACCACACAGGCGGATGCCTTTGTGCACAACAGTGTTTGGGATAGTCTGTGACCCTCAGTGTCCCTAGGGATGGCTCTCTTTCTCTGAGCTCCCATGCATCTTTCTGACACCAGTTATTCACTCTGCAACTACTCTTTGCTTGGGAGTCTCATTCCCAAGATCCTGGGACACAGTAGGAACTCAAGACATATCCCCTGAATTGATGGTAAGGTTATTAGAAAAGTCTACATTTTCTTTGCCCCAAGCACTTTGCCTTCTATGAGAAAAATCATTCGACTTAAACAGAGCTTTCCACTTTCCAGCACTCTCTTTATCTCCATCACCTTTAGCAATTTTGTTTTATTTCTTGCTGCTTTTATTTATGACTCACATGGATTATAAACTGCTGAGGTCAAGGAACTGTTCTTTTGTGATTTACACTTCTAATGAAATTTATAACATCCTGACTTCTCCAAGAATGATTAACAGGGTTAGGAAATGGAAAGAACTCAAAATCTTAATTCTCTCAAATGCCATCTTCACAAGCATGTAATTGTGAGTAAAACTGGGCTCCACCGTAGAGGTAAACCCACAGGGCCCCTGCCTGGCTGTGTGAGCACAGCCTAGCTGTGATACTGTGAGTGCTGTGTAAGCAGGTACCATAGGTTGCTGGGACATCAGTGGCAGAGAGGACAGGGCTGCCTCACTTTACTGTGTGTGGGGGCAGCAGTGCAGGGGGTGGGTGGGGCTCTGAGCTTGTCTTCCCACCTCCTGGAAGGGGGCTAACATGCCATAAGCTTTCCCAGCAGCAAGTGATTGAGGGGCAACCTCCCAGGAACTTGTGAAAGCTGCCACATGCAGAGGACATGCAAGACCCTCAGCACCCCACATTCAAGGGTTTTAGACCCTTCCGTTATGTCAAAATTTGGTTAGGACTGAAAAGCGGAACAGAGCCATGCGCTTCATCTAGTGTGGAAATGACAGATTTGAACTAGTGTGCACACAGCAGGGTGGCAGGCACACGGTTTTCTAGAAACCTTAGCATGAAACAAGCAAATATATTGGGTGCCTGCTACGTACAAAGCAATGTATTTGAAGCTTGGGGACGAGACCCTCAAACAGTCACTGTAGAGTAGGCAACTGCCATGAGGGAACCAGGGGTGCTTAGAAGGAAAGTGTTATCCCTGGGGACACTGAAGCTTCAGAGCATCCCAAACACTGGGACGCCACTGGGGCAGGAGTGTGTGGTAACTAGAGAAACTGAGGTAATGTGGAGGGGGCAGGCAGAGGAAGGAAGGCTAGAGGGGCTTAACACAGGGTTCTTGGCAAGTGTGGAGGAGGCGGGGAACCAGTGAAGGAGAAATATCAAACACAGCCACTCTGGCTGCCATTCACAGAGCTCTGTCTACTTTGGGTATGGTATGGGCAACACTTCCTGATGCAACAGCATCAGCCTGGACACTACTTCATGAGGTCATGGAGAGCAATGAAGACCATCTGCAGAGGTGAAGTACCATCGGTCAGCAAGCAGACCGTGTGCTCACCCTGCTTCTGCCACTGATCTGCAAACAATCTTGAACACACTTCTTAAGCTCTCTGGTGCCTCATCCGTAGCAATGCAGACTGTGACTATAACCACACCTCCTAACGTCACTGCAAGGGTTAGGAATTAGAAATATACATAGAAGGGATTGGAGAGATGGCTCAGAGAGTAAAAGCAGTAGTTGTGTAAGCCTGAATGACCCGAGTTCAGTCTCTAGAACCAATGTAAAGAGCCTGGTTGTACTCATTACATGGCAAGACGGAAGGCACAGACAGGAGGATTACCCGGAAGCTCACGGGCCTGACAGCCTGGATTATACAGTATGGCAGAAACAGCATGAGAGCCTGCCTCAACAGGGTGGAAAGGAAAACTCTAGACTGTCTTATGATCTCCATACATCTACTGTAGCATGACTGTGCTTGTACCCTCCCTGCTTAACCTGGTTCCTGGAGTACATACCAACAAATGTGAGCACACACATACACTGTTTACTATTCACAATTCCCATTTCATTCTCAGAAGGAACACCTTTAGAAGTCGAGTAACCTCCTCACATGGCTCACTGGTGGGAGATCTTGTCCAGGCCTGCATCCATCCTACCTTTGAAGACCAGCACCTCTCCTGAGCCAAACTTCATAGTTTCTAAGCTCCATGCTCGACAGGACAATTTTCAGGGCACTGAAGACTGTGCTGGTAATGGCACCGCCAGTTACTGCCACAGGGAATGTGACCAGAGGACAGCTGGCTTCCCATGGGCCCGAACTCTAGCCCAACTGACCATTGAAACTGAGATGCCCTGCCACTCGCTCCCCTCAGGACTTCTGTTCTCTAACAGATCACCTACCTTTTAATAACAAACCATTCTGTCTTTCATGGTTTACTTTCAGCTACAGGCACTTTCTTCCAAAGTGACCCCTTTCTAAAGGCTGTTAAAGTGATGATGAATGGCAGGGAATGCTCACCACAGCACTGTCCACAGTAGCCAGGACAGGGAGGAGAGGGAGTCCATCCAAGTGTCATGGGTGAGTGGAGAAAATGTAGGAGACACGCGCACGCATGTGTGCGCATGCACACACCACACACACACACACACACACACACACACACACACACACACATGTACGCATGCACGTATGCGCTCAATCACATTACAGTACTTTTCAGCTTTTTAAGACAAAAGAAATTCTGTCATCAGCAATGACATTGATGAACCTGATGGAGATTGTGTTAGTCAGAATAAGAAAGACACAGAAAGACAAATGCCTCATAGAACCTAAAAGAGTCAAACAGCACAGAATACAATGGGAGTTCTCAGAGGCTGGAGAAGGGGAGGGGCAGGTGTCTGTCAAAGGATGTGAAACTTCTGCTGGACAGAAGATAAGTCCAAAAAGCCCATTTGCAACACAGTGACTGTTCTTAGATGACTGTCTATAGGTGCTTGAGAATGGTTAAGAGAATGCATTTTAAATGCTCTCTCCACTCAAAGTCAGCATAACCATTGCCAACAGACATGTTAATTAGGTTACTTCAGCCATTCCACCCAGCATACAGGTATCATGGTGTATGCCATAAATAGATTCAATGTTAAGCCAGATGTGGTGGTGTATAGCTTCCATCCCAGCACTCTGGAAGCAAAGGAGAATCACTGAGAGTACCAGGTCAGCCAGAGTTAAATGGTGAGACCCTGTTTCAAAACTAAAGACAAAACCAAAACACCAAAAACAAAACCCCATACACACAGAGACACAGACACGCTCAATGTAGACACACGCACATATATAATATATGCATACAACTTTAGTTAGCTGAATTAAAAAGATGATTAAGAATTGGAAGCATGAATAACTGACCTTTTAGTGGCCAGGGGAAAATGTTCCACCAGGGTACCTCTCCCCCTACCCTCTTCTCTTCCCCTCCCTGGCTATTCCCCAAAACTCACTCACTCACTCACTCACTCACTCTCTCAGTGTTTTACAGACTTCACAACCCAACACAGGTGCGGTGCTGTGTCAGGCACATTGACTGGGGCTCCACAGCATCTTAAGTGTAGCCAGGTCATAATGTAACCCACATCAGTCACCACCTTCCCTCACCAGCGTGCACATGGGGCAAACACACCTGGAGCCCACTCCGAAGAAGCACAGCCAGCTCCTCCTTCCCAACGCTCCACTGCCTGCTCCTGGGACCACACTCCCACCGTTCTTGCTCCTGACCATCCCAGATTGGGGTGAACTGCTCCATCTCACCTCTTCCTCTTGCCTCCACACTCCGAGAGAGTAAGCCCCAGGCCTCCTCAGTGCCCTTTCCACTCCTCCTACTCCAAGTCTGATACATGGCAGTTAAGAGCGAAACCACAGGGAACACCACCCTCACTGCCTCCAGCAAGACTATCATGGCCTCCCAATGGCCCTGTAACTGATATACTTGGCAAGTCACAGTCATAAG